GGGCAGAAATGAAGCTAGGGGACTCAAATGTTTTAAAATTTTATTCTAAGGATCCAAAAAAAGCTTCTCATGCCTCCCCATCATTCGCCCAGCACACACTCCCTATAACCTAGAACAGGACAAAATTTTTATCAACTAAGTTCTACAATCATTTCTCAGAAGTGTCTGTCACGTGACCTATTTGAAAAGAACTGTGGCTGACAGGTAACTGTTAATTTCAGAGAAAAGCTGTATATAAATCAGTCGATATGGAAGGTAATAACTCAAGAAGAAAAAAAAATAAGACAAGTTAGAAAAACCCAAGACATAAGACAAACTTACTCAGAAGTCTTAAGTTTGACATGAAATCCCTTAAAGGATTTTTTAAAATCATCTTAATGATTTAAAAATTGAGACCAGAACTCAAAGAATTATAGTAGAACTATAGTAGCAAAAACAGAACAAAACAAAAACACATTGGACTTGAAGTCAAAAGACCAGGGATTAAGACAAGTCTTGACTACTTACTAGCTGAATGACTATGGGCAATTCACTTCAACTCAAGTGGACAAACATTATTAAGGGTCTACTATGCACAAGTGCCTTTATATCCTCATTTTAATAAGCTCATTTATTTGAGCTACCTAGTACATTCTTTGGAGAAGCAAATGAGATATTATCAGGCTATATAAATTCTTTTTGTAAACTATAAACCACTATATAAATGTCAGCTATTATCAGCATAACAGAACAAAAAATGCAAAGTAGAGAAGAAAAAAAAATCAAACAGTTCAAAAGATGAAGGGGGACATAAATCTTCTTACCTTTAAGGCACTAATATAAATGAAACAGGAGTTTTCCTCAACACATCAATACCAGTTGCACTCAATAAACATTTATTAAACACCTACCGAATGCAAACCTCTAAGGAAACAAAGAAAATAGTAGCTGCCTTCTAGGAGCTTATATTCTAATGAAATATCAAATAAATTAATTGCTTATGTGGAAGATCTCATGATAGGATCAGTTTAATTAATAGTATTAGAAGGAGCCATAAATATAAGGCTTTTCTTAAATGAAAGCCAAGCTGTACCTCCTTAGGAAAGGTAATGATGGATATGAATGCAGGATTTCAAAATCTAGCCTAAGTCAACAAACTGGCAATAGAGATGATTCCCAGGGCTGGGGGGAGGATGGGGAGTGGGAGGTGGACAGTGGGGGAAGAAAGGATGACATGTGATGGACAACTGCCCTAGAAGCCAGAATTATGTGAACAATGTTTCAAATTAGAATACTGGAAAAGATATTTTTAACAGTAAACTGATGAATAAGAGGAAAAAGAAGGTATAAGTTGATCTAAATCTTAAAACTTGCTTATGATACCTAAAAAGAATACTCACCCAAATCAATGAAAAAGACTCTGACCTCTTACCCAGTATTTAAGGACAACTATTAAGCAAAGTCATGTGCTTGACATCTGATCCATATCATTCTCATCTTAAATAATCTACTAGGTCTCAACAACTTCTCAAAATTAATGTTTCTCCCCTTTCTGAAATGACCACAAAACCCAGTGTTTCTTGGCATTTCTTGGTCTACAACAAAACACCAAAATCAATTTCTATATGGCTTATCTCTTCAAATGCTGAGCTTCTGTAGCATTCCTGGTATATTAAGAGGCTCAGAAAGAATATTCTTCCCTGGGAAACCCCACATCTCAACTTTAAACTGCTCAGTCTATTTTAATAGTATTTTTTGAACTTATCCCTTCTTCTCCAATTATGCTACCATCATGCTATCAATGCCACCTCATTTCCAGTCACCTAGACTATTGTAATGATCTTACTTTCTAAAAACACTTAACTTTTCTCATCTGTTCTTCACATAGTTGCCACATTAATATTCCTCATTTAAATATTTGGCCATGTCAGTCCTTTGCTCAAAACCCTTCAAAGGCTCCCAAAGTTTAAACTCAATCTGAAGTTTAAGGCCCTCCACAATCTTGCAAATTCTTCCATTTCTAGCATAATTTCATATTCTTCTTCCCTACATACTCCAGCCAAACTGGACAACCTACAAATATTACTCATACCAGTACAGGCTTTCCCACCTCCATATCTTTGCTCAGGATGGTCCCTATGTCTGCAATGTTCCTCCTCCATGTTCTACCTCTGTCACCTGAAATCTTACCCATCCTTTAAAGCCCAGATCAAATGCTGCAACCTCCTCCAAAAAGCCTTCCCTGCTGCCCCTACTTGGCACCAGTACTGCCTCTCCCTGGCTCATATACCACTTAGTATCTCTCTTATGCACTTCTGTATTTTTATTAAAATTATTTTGCATGTTATCCTTGTTTCATGGATTACATGTATCTCATGGGATATATATGGTCACCAAAAGTATTTGCCACTGTGAAGGAAGAGACACAGCACAGAGCCCAGGTTGAAAAGGGATTCCCAATGAATGGTGAAGTCCTCCAGATGCTCCTGTTTACTGATGACATCATTCTGTTTGGCTCAAACCCCAAGACAAGCTCCTGAAAGAGATCTGTAATCATGCCAAGGAGTTTAGCATGTTCATCTACATGGGAAAGACCAACAGGATTAAGAATGCCTCTTACCCAGATTTCAACATTCATTAAAACAAAGAATAAAGCTTGTCCAATAATATGTCTGAGACTGACAGTAAAGATAGACAAGGAGCTGGACCCAGAGTTAAAAAGCAGAAGAGTGAGTTGGATAGCTTTCAGGAAATTATACTTTTACTGATTCCCCAAGCTTCCCATAGCAACAAAGGCCATCTTCTCAATACAAACTTTTTACTGGTGGAATTGTTTGGAAGGAAAACCTGCTTCCAAATAACTAAATTTCCCACAGAGACCAAAGGAAAGGAGCCTGGTTGGGCATGAGCAGTCTGCAATATAAAGCCAACAAGGAAATACAAAGGCCAGGTAAAAAGGATATAACATCAAGGAACTATGGAGCAGAAGGAAATGGGCTGGGTCGTGTGGTAAGGGCATTGGATAACAGATGCACTCCAGCTTGTGATGTTAGTGAGAAAGGTCTACAGCATATGAGGTAGACTCCATGTGAAGAACTTTTTGCAAAAAGAATAGGAAGAATAGGTTGCAGATCTGCATCATGGGAGAAGAACTCCAAAATTACAAATCCACTTGTACATATTCATGTTACATTCCCCTTAAGAGTAAAACTGAAATTTACATACCTTTAAAGGTTACAAAGCACTTTATACATATTATCTTACTTGGTCCTCATAACAGCACCATAAAATAAATACTGTTATTTCTATTTTATAGATGAGGAAATTGAGGCTCAAAAATGTTATTTGTCTATCACCACAGAGCTAGTAAGTATCAAAGCCAGGATTTGAACCCAGGTCTCCCTGACTATAAGTCCAAATCTAAAGGTGTTTCCACTCTACCATGTTGCATCTATATTACGTCATAGTAAAGGTGGTTTGAAGTGGAGTGGATAGGGTTAAGAGTAATATTTTTCTACACTTAATAATACAGTGAAGAAAAACTATGATGAAAGACTTTAGAACTCTGACTACTGAAATAACTGAAATTATAAGTTCAGAAGACTGGAGGTGAAACATGCTCTTGACTCTTGGAAGAAAGGTTGTAGACTAGAAGAGGTATGGAATGAGGCATACATTTCCAGGCATGTCCAATGTATTGATTTGTTTTGCCTCACAAAAGCAAACACTAGAACTTTGAGGGTTCTAGTGGGGATGGGAAAGTGACATTCAAAAGAAAACAGCACTAATAAAACGTTTTTGAAGAAAAAACCTTGTATTATATTAGAATAAAAAATAATTTTAATGCTTGTTGAATTGACTCTGATCTCTTTTGTATGCAGTCTATGGTGGGAGGAAGGAGGAAATGGATACAATCAAAATTTCAAATGAGATACTAGAAGTCTGGATAGAGTCTGGAAGACAGACATCAGGTCAGGATGCTATGACTAGTTCTATTCAAGTCAGTGAGGTTACTTAAGCAGCAGTAGCTAGAAATAGCAACGATAATTTATTTAACTGCAAGTTATCTATATCATACAGAGTAACACCAAAGAACAATGATTTATTCAGACATTATCTACTAGACGAGTAGGTCCCTGGAAAAATCACTGGACACTACAATTTCAAGGAACTGGCAACTGACCAGATATATGGATAAAGGAGGAATCAAAGATTATTTCAAGATTAAAACATGCAAGACTGAAGAAAGGTGACATTACTAGCAAGACAGAGGCAAAATGGGACAGGAGTTGAATTGAGGGGGGATAGGTAGAATGAGTTCTGCTTTATATATTTTCAGTTTAAGGTGCCAGTGAGACATCCAGGTGGTACTATACGGAATGACTGTGAAAAGGTGAGTGAAATCAGGAAACAGGTCAGAAATCGAGATGTATATCTAGAAATTACAGAGAATCAAGTTTTCCTTTGAAGGGATAAAAATGCATGTAAATACCAAGTATGGTTTACTTACTACATTTATGATATACATGTAGTATGTTGACAATACCTGAAAAGAGGGATAAATATATTAAATTAAATTTGGAGAGAACATAAATTAAACAGTGTTCTTTCTAGGGAAGTAAGTATTAATGACCAGCAGGAATATAGGTTACCCAAAAGCTGTAAAGTGCTATAAGTAATAGCAAGGAAACACAGTGAAAGAGATAAAGTATATTCTTGGATAGAAAAAAAATTAGGTGAAAAAATAAAGTAATGGATTATTAAAGTTCCACAGCCTACTTATTTCTAAAACAATCTCACCCCAGGATGTTTTATCAGTAACAGATTCTTTCCTTAGCAGATCATCACTGGATCACATCTTCATTAGATGAATATAAAAGATGTACACTGTCTCACTTCATGCTCAGCTAGCCTAACTTCTGCAAAATTTAAAGTGCTGCCTTTGATTAAGCAAAGATTATATAGATCACCCTTGAAGTAACAAGTTGTCACTTGTGCTTGAATTATGGGAAATGAGGGGCTGGCAAACATAAGATTCATCTGTGACTCAGAAGCTCTAACACTTATTACCTGCTTCCCTTTCAGGACATGCTTGGGCACTGGCACCTTAACCTCCAGGTCACTGTAGTCTTGAGACCAGGTGTAATTCTCACGTACAGCACCATTGTAACTGTCGGGGTTTTTCTGGAACTGCTCCTGTCTCCTGGGGAAGAACAAAAAACTTGAAATGCCAACTTATCCATACAGATAGGATAGGAAAATGAGAATCAAGTTTGACTGTCCACCATTTTTAAAGAATCAGAGAAAAGATTAAAGAAGGGAATGATCAAGTCAGATTTAATTTATGTTTAGAAATTTGCTCTTTGTAGCTAGTTTCTTTTCTGATAATCCAATTTAGATCACTTGTCTCTAAGAACACAGAGACAGAGGGAAATGTCTGAGGGAATTAATATGAATATAACACCCTCCTGTTTTACAATATAAGCAGCAACCATAGTCAAAAGTACTGCTTAACCCTCTTAAGTCCCCATGAAGACTTAAGAATGGAGCCTGCTTAATTAAGAAAAATGCCCCTACTAATAAAAAATCTACTATTTATTTTCTCACAAAATGCTCAGCTCAATGAGAGGAGGGAAAGTCAGAGCCTATATCAGAAAACTTAGTTCCTACTGCCAAATTTTAAATCTCTACCAAACCTCTAAAAACCTCTACTTCTTAACAATTATATCAGTGCGAGCAGGTAGGTGGCGCTATGGATAGAGCACTGGTCCTGAAGTCAGGAGGACCTGAGTTCAAATCCAACCTCAGACCAAACACTTGACATTTACTAGCTGTGTGTCCCTGGACAAGTCACTTAACCCCAATTCCCTAAAAATAAAAATAAAACAAAACAAAACAATTATATCAGTGATAGTATAATATCAAAGAGTTCATTTATGATGATGATAATATGGAAATATGCTTACAAAGAAAGCTTAAAATTAACTCAATTTGAGGTGGGAGTGGAGTAATGCACAGAAGACACTACTTTTTTTTTAAACTGTATAGGAAATCTGAAAACTAAAACCAAGTATCAGTATGAAAGCCCAATAAGGAGCCAAATAGGCAATATTTATTTAAATGTTGGCTGTAAAATAATCTAAAAATTAGTATAATGCTATGCTAAATACTATAAAGAAATAAACATAATCCCAGCACCATGGGTTTATGATCTAAATTAGACACAAAGGCAAGATGATTATGGAGAAGAACACATTAATGGATACCCAAGATTACAACACAGCAAAGATAAGTCTCCAGACTCAGTAGCCCTGACATTCTCATTGGACTTCTTGGGCACACAAGCAAGTCGATATGTGAGCAGCTGTTTACTGTTATTGAACAACTATACAACTATATTCTCCCATAGGATCCACTATCAGGACCTTAACTTCTTCCAGGCAAATAAGCACCAGATGGGTCCTTTACTATGCTTGCATATTAGGCCTCAGTAGAAAGAAAGAATATCATATCCAAGTCTTCTTGAGCCAATGCTTCTGAAAATGGAGAAAATATCCTTCAAAGAATGTTTTTGGAAAAATTTTTTTAAAAAAGGGTTGAAAGTAATTATCAACTTGCCGAATAAATTCCAGCTCTAAGGGTCAGTGAGGGAAAATACAAGAATAGAATGAAAGAAAAGAATGAAATCGATCACCAGAAAGTTTCTGGAGCACAAAGAAAAGAGGTCATAGAATGGAGGAGAAGAAAAATAGGTTAAGAACAGTCCAATGCTTTGAAGGTCAAAAGAAATACACATTTAATATAGAAAGCAGGGAAAAAACCAATGGAAACCCAGAAGATGAAGGAATCCAAGGAGTCTTAGTATAATGGTAGTAGGCAAGGAGGATTAGCTAAAATAGCAATAACTGCCTAAGCCTTTTCTCAAAACCTGTTTCAAATCTGTGATGAATTTAGTTCGCTTTTGAACATTTATATACTCTTTCTTTTCTCGGCATTTTAACCTTCTCTAAGTACTTCCCCATACAATTGATGAATGAAGGAAAAATTTTCATGTGCTAAGCACTCGAGATACAAACAGAAAAAGAAGACAGTCCTTGCTACAAACAGAAAAAGAAGACAGTCCTTGCTCTCAAGGAGGTCACACTCTAACTGGAGTTCAGTTGCAGGTTTAGGAGAAAGACAGGAAAGATCCTAAGATGGCAAGGCCCAAGAGTCCTTAAAATGCATTGGGATGCTTGTCTCACAGGAGTGGTCTACCATAAATGGGAAGGAGGAATGGTCCTAAGAGTCAGAGTAGAAAGGGGATTCTGGGGTCCCTCATTGCCAGGATGGGAAAGGGGAAAGGACATTGATCCTACCTATACAGATAAGCTGTCAGGAAGATTGAGATTGGGCTCTTTTGTCAGAAAATAGTGAGGGCAGTCCCACTTGAGCCCCAGCCCACTCAGGCTGGGACCTTCTCCCCCTCACTCCCTATAGGATCTAGGCTAATGGAAAGTGGGAAGGGCAAAGGGTTGATTCTCACAATATTGTGAGGTAGTTAGAGCAAGAATTATTAATTCAAATCAAATGAAAATGTATTTAAAGACATTTCACAAATCTTAAAGCCCTGTTCAAATGCCAGTTAGAGGGTGGGTATAATTAAAGAAATCTTTTTTTTTTAAAGAAGTCTTACGTTATAAATTATTTTATTAAAAAAAAACAACCACATTCAACTATATACAAGATAGAATTAGATCATCTTAAAAGTATTCCTCTCTTGGTACAGTATGAATTTAATATTCAATGTGAGCAATTTATTATAAAATAAAAACTTGGGTAATGAAAGCATAAAACACTTAAATTTCAGTGAGACAACTATATAGCTGTTACTATCCTTTTTCAGGCTCTCTGTGGGAAGAAAGAGCAAGGAGGCTTGGTTCTACCAGGACAGGAGAAGTAATGATTTCCAAAAGAGGCATTTTGATAAATGATAGGGTGGTAGTAGGAGACAGGAATGGGTTGTTGACTGCTCCTCATTACCCTCTATGGCTCTCACTACTTGGCCTTCCTAGGGATCCCAATGGGCATGTAATAGCTATGTGAATACTTTCCTTTCTATGAGACACTGTGATAATGTGGATAGAGTACTGGTTTTCAATCAGAAAGACCCAGTTTTTAAATACTGCCTCTGACAATAGTCGTGTGTGTGTGTGTGTGTGTGTGTGTGTGTATACACACACACACACACACACAGAGGGAGAGAGAGAGATGGATATATGTTATATATCTATATCTCTCTATATAATCTATATCTATATCTATATGTATATCATAGTGACAGAAGCAGGACTAGCATCCAATTTTCCAGATTCCTACTCCAGTGCTCTTTTCTTTGTAACATACTATCTCTGAACCTTCTAAACTTCTTACTTCAGGTTTAGGAACTGACATATTATAATCCTTGCTGAACAAAAGAATGGGACAAAAGGGGACATGAGGCTGAGGAAGCTGTAGAAAGGTTGAAAATGACATGGAAAAACAGTAATTTGAAAAAAAAAAAGGAATAGGATAGGAAAAAAGGGGACCTGGGAAAAACATTTTAAACATACAGTCAATGTGGTCCTTTGTTTATTTTTAAGTTAACTAATACCAACCTACCCTTTTTTTATTTGGGGTGGAGGAAGCAACCACAGAACACCAGGAAGTATCATTTTGGTTCCTACATGCCTGGGGAAGTGATGATTCATTGATCACCAAATAAGAATTATACTACGTACAACTCTAAGATCCTCCATTGCTCTAGATCCCTGGTCTCCTTAAGAGTACTCTGCTGCAAAAGAATCACTGACAAAACTACATAATCAGTAGCAAGTTGCAAGACACTTTTTTAAACTCTCCAAATCTACATTCTCTTTAAATAAAGTTGATTATTTAAAGAATACACAATGTAAAAATAAACCTCCTTCATTTATTTTTTGGCTCCTGCCATTTGCAGGTGGTTTTGAAACCAACCACTTTCCCCATTCACTTTTAAGCTACAATCTGTTATGAGAACTTCAGCTACCATTCCAGTCGTTAGTCCATGAAAATAAGAAGGCAGTGAATGACCTCCTGCAAGGCAGCTAATGAGGGCCTGCCATGGGTGGGGAAGAAGAGAGAGGAACTTCAGAGTTAAGAAAGAGAAGTTTTACCATAAAGGATAGGAATGAAAATGAGTCAGTAGCCTGTAGTCAGATTGAGCAGATTTTAATTCTCATTACCTCAACAGATGTTAACAAGGTTCTAAATATATTCAAATTTGAAGGACCTATACCGCCTATCTCTTTGGACAGCCATGGTCCCTTTGTTTCCATGGTGACAAGAGTGACACAAACATACCCAGATGCCCATCCCCACCCCCTACCGTGTCTTGCTGACAGTAGCATTTAACCTCTAAGGAACAGGTAATGCTTGATTCCAAAATCACCTGCAGATAATGGGAGCCAAAAGGTCAGGGAAAAATCATTACACAGCAGAGGAGAAGCAAAGCTATCACAAAAATGGTCATATTCAGTGCCTTCTCTGCTAATACATATGATAATTTCAGAAGGACAAAAGTAGAGCACAGAAACAGACACTACTGACAACTCACACATCTTCTGTCATAATTCGTCAGGTATCCAAACACCTGACTTAGTCTGAAGATCTTGAGAAATATCTAGGATTACATTTATTACATTTCATCAATAGCTCAGGCTCACCATGGATGGCATCACTATACTAAAATTATGAGCTAAATGTTTTCTTTCATTCCCTTTAAAATTTTTAAAAATTTACTTTATTTTTAATTCATGGGACAAAACAAGAATTTTCATAACATAGTATAGCAAAAAAAAATCGCACATGAAACTGCAAATCTATTATGTACAACTTGCTTTTCCTCTTAAATATATAATATATATATATATAATACAGTTATGATGTAATTTTTTTTTCTTTTTTCTTCCCCATATGCGTGTGTGTAAAATCATTCTATACATCTATTTATCAGTTCTTTTTCTGGATGCAGATAGCATCTTCCTTCATTGGTCCTCTGTAGTTAATTTGGGTATTTATAATCAAAATGACTTATTTGCTCAAAGTTGTTCTTAAAACAATATTGCAGTTACTGTATACAATTTTCTCCTGGTTCTGCTCATTTAGCTCTTCATTATTTCATGCAAGAATATTTTTTATAGACAG